AGGGTCCAGTGGGGACCAGATGCTACAGAGGAATGACAAGCAATCATTGCGGTTTTTCTAACAACAAATGATATGGAGAAATTTTTAATTTACTTGTTTTCTATTTGTGTCTCTTCTTTGGAGAAGCACCTGTTCAAATCATTTGCCCATTTTAAAATATTTAATTGTTAGCCCTTCTTATGGTTCAATTGTAACAGGTCTTTGCATTCTTGATTCTAGACCTTTATCAGATATATAAATTTCAAGTGTTTTCTTACAGTTAGTGGCTTGTCTTTTTATCTTTTTGTTGTTGATTATGTACCATCAAACTGGATCCGGTTGGCACAAGAGGAGATTGCCCCTCCTTCTCCAGCAAAGCATCTGGTGGATTCGAACAACACGCCTTCAGTATTGCAGCACAGCTCCCTTTCTTTTTATCTTTTTGATAGTGTCCTTTGAAGGAAAAAAGTTAGTACTTATAAATGCATGTTTTCTTTTGCTAATTGTGCTGTTGGTGTCTTAGCTGAGAAATGATCTTGTAATCCAAAATAACAGAGATTTGTGTCTATCTTTTGTTCTCAGAATTTTATGGTTTTAGATATCATATTTGGGTCCACAGCTCATTTTGAGTTAATCTTTAATATTTCATTATTTTGCACATGAATTTTCATTTGTCTCAGGACTTCTAGAGTGTTCTTTCCCAAGCAGCCTTGGTGGCACAATTGGTTAAATGCTCAACTGTGAACGGAAAGGCTCCACAGGGAAAGGAGCTGATCATTTGCCTATGTAAAAATAAAACCTAGAAAAGGCAGAGCTACTCTGTCCCCAGGGGTCACTGTAAGTCCAAATAAACTCAGTGGCACCCAACAACATTCTTTTCCAATTGATGTATCTCAGCAGCCTCATTACAAAATCAATTCACCATAAATGAAAGACTTATTTCTCAATCTGAATTCTGCGGATTCTGTTGTCTGTCCATCTGTTTATTACCTGTCTGCGAGAAGTCTTGATCACAATTTTATCACTGTACTGTAGCTGTAAAGTAAGCTTTGAAATTGACAAGTGCAAATTCTTTTTTTTCCCTTTTGATTATTGCTTTGTATAGTCTGGATCTCTTGAATTTATTGTTGTTATTGTTATATGCTGTCAAGTCACCTGTGACTCCTAACAGCTCTATGCATCACAGCTCTGAACTCTGCCCTATCCTGATCCAGTCTCATTGTCTTCAACACATCTGCCCCCATTATTCCAGTCTCAATGTCAATCCATTTCATCCTGGGTCTTCCTCTCTTGTGCTGTTTCTTCACCCTTCTAAGCATGATGTCCTTCTCCAAGGACTGGCCACGCACCCAACGCATGTGAGCAGGGCTTCAAAATCCTGGACTCCAGAAAGCAGTGTGGTTTCACTCTCTCCAGGACAGACCTGTTTGTTCTCCTGAGAAAAGTTACACCTTACTTTTTAAGTTGACATCCTTGCTTTTTAGCATTCTGGAGAGGGCAGCAGGTTTTCCCAATGTAAAACTGCCCTACAGGGTTTCCCAGATTGTAATCGTGAGAACAGATGAAAGGTCCCCCTAGCAGCTTATGGACCCAAACCATCAACCTTTCCCTTAGCAGGTGGGCATTTAACCCTAGTGGGTAGAGTTGCTCTGGCAAAATTAAGAAAATTAAAATAATCACAAGTGGACTAATAAGCAAGCTCATGATAAATGACACCAGTCTGAAGTGGTCAAAGGTTTAATTCTCTTTGCACCCATAACCAATGTCCATGGAAGCAGCAGTCAAGAAATCTAAAGACCTGCTTGCATTGGGCCAATATGCTGCAAGAGACCCATTGACACTTTAGGACCAAAGTGAGTCTGATCTAAACCATGGTATTTTCAGCTGCTGCCATCTCAAAGGCAGGTGGTCGGGATCTTCCAGCTGTTCCTCGGGAGAGAATGGGCATTCCCCTCAGTGTGATTAACTGTCTCAGTGGCACACAACAACAGCAACAACGTATGCATATGAAAGCTTGACAATAAATAAAAAAAATCAAAGAAACACTGATGTCTCTGAATTATGATATCAGTGAAGAATATTCAATAGACCGGAACAGGAAATATTAGTCTGTTTTGGAAGTGCAGTCTGAATGCTTCTTAGGGGTGAGGATGATGAGATTTCATCTCATATACTTAGGACAGGAGGAATCTTGGAGAAGAACATCATTGTTGGTAAATAGTATCAGCTAAAAAAATAAATAAAATAAGCAAGCCCTCAGGTCCTCCCCACAAGGTAGACTGGCACAAAGACTGGAATAAGGGCCTGAAATACACAGTGACCATGAGAGTTGTGCAGGACTCGGGAGTGTTTGTTTCACTCTTGTACATAGAGTTGCTATGGATCAGAGCTAAGTTGATGGCAGATAACAACAAACAACATATTGATTAATGTTCATGTAGTGAACCAACCTTAGATTCCCACAATAAAATCTACTTGGTCATGGTGCATACTCCTTTTAAATAAATAATCAGATTCTGTTTTCAATTGCTTTGTTGAGGATTTTTGCAGCCCTGTTCATAAAGGGTATTACCCTGTCATTTCAGTTTTTGTGTAATGTGTTTACTGGTTGTCATATGAGGGTAATACAGCCCCGAAGAAAATGAAGTGTTCCTTTCGCTTTTGTTTTAGAAGAGTTTGAGAAGGTTTGTTGTTCTTTTTTTCTTTTTCTTTTTTTTTTTTTAATCGTCCAGCAGAATTCTCTCCTGGAGAAATCTGGTCCAGGACTTTATGTAGAAAGTTTGTGTGTCTGTTTTCCTTTCCTTTCCTCCCCCAATTCATTGTTTTATTCCTATCGGTCTATTGAGAATTTTTCTTTCTTCTTGAGTCAGCTTAGCTAATTTATATCTTTATTAAAGAGCCCTGGCGGCCAGTGATTAAGTGCCTAGTTGCAAACCCTAAAGTCACTGGCTCACCAACCACTCTGTCAAAGGCAGATGGAGCAGTTTGTGTCCATAAATATTGAGTCCTGAAAACCCTGTGGGCCAGTTCTAGTTTACCTCATAGGACTGCTGTGAGTCAGGACTGACTTAATGGTGGTGAGTTTGTAATGGGTTTCTTTATATGACTATGTCTATTCCATCTACATTACCTAATTTGCTAGTTTATAATAAATCTCAATATTCCCTTATAACTTTTATTATTTCGTTAATGGTCAATTTTGTCTTTTCATTCATCCTTGATTTTAATTATTTGAATCTTTATTTCTCTGGGTCAGTCTAGCTAAACATTTGCCAATTTTGCTAATTTTTTCAAAGACTGTCTTGTAGAAGTAACATTATTTTATTAACAGACTTTGTCATATTCGAGAAAAATAGGATCCAGAATTATATTACTATGAACATATTCTTAACTATAATGACTGACTGTTGTTTGTTGTTGTTAAGTGCCATCAAGCTGTAAACAACTCATAGTGACCCTATGAATGAAAGACTTGGACTTGTATAATTTCCATTGTTTCTCTAAGTTCATAGACTTTCCGGAGGCAAGCTATTTCAGAAGTGGATACCACTCATGCTTCCAAGCCTGTTTAAATTGGGGAGCTCCAACAAACACTGTGCACCATGGGTAACCATTGTCACATTTGAAACATCAGTGTCACAGTTTTTAGCATCATAGTAAACACGAGTTACCTCTGTACAGCAAATTGACAGATCAGTGCTATACCACTTAGAAGAATGTTTGACCTAAAACAATTAAAACAAAACCAGTAGAATCTGTCTGCTCTACGCATCTTTCCAAACTGGATTCCAGCCCCAAAGTGGCAACCAAATGTCTTTTAAGCACAAGGCCAAATCCAATCAGCTCACACCCAATTGCGAGCAAACATTCCACACCCAAGGCTCAAGAAGAACCAGAAAACACACCTTTGTAGAATCTGGCTGCTCCACACATCTTTCCAAACTGGATTCCAGCCCAAAACTGGTGACCAAATGCCTTTTTATATATGAGGCCAAATCCAATCAGCTCACACCCAAGACTGACTAGGAGTATGTTAATAATAATTTACTATGTTTAAGAAAGTATTTGTTAGAAAAAACAAAAACACTAGAGGTGAAAGAATAAGTTTAGAAAGCTGAGGGACATAGAAAGAAGACAGATGAAGAGGCTTCAGTTTGGCAGTTCTACCTATATGAGGGGCAGTATGTAAGGGAGCTCTGGTGGTAAGCCACTGCCAATATAAAGGTATGAGCTTCAAATCTATGAATCTACCAGCTGCTCCATGGGACAAAAATGGGTAATCTTATCCCATGTGATTAACTGCCACTGAAAGCCCACTGAAGGGTCAACTATGGGTTGGTTCCAACTTGACAGTACACAACCACCGACAATTGCCGTAAAGCCGCGTAGCCCTGATAAGGAAAATTCAGGCTGCCCTAAAAACCCACCATAGGTCACTTAACCTAGGAATCTGTCACCTTTGAAAGCTTGCAGCCTGATCATGCTGCCTCCATTGCTATGCAGCCCTTTCTCAGTGCCTGACCCTAGTATCGGGATTTCTGAACCCTAGAATCTGGGGTTTCTGAACATTCAACCTGGGGAGCCCTTCAGGACTCCACAGGAATAGGGCACAGGACGAGGGCAGGTGGAGATGGGCACAGATGTGTGCTTAGGCCTGTCCTAGAGGTGCTAGTGTAGGGAGCGTCACCTTCTCTCTCTTCCCTTCCTAATTCCTTTCAATGCTAGACAGTAGGACATGGGGAAAGAGTGAGGCTTTCTCCAGAATAGGAGCTGCCAGTGCTTCCCCACACACGTACTTCCACTAAGGCCCCAGGAGGCAGGCAGGACAAGTACATTTTATCTTCTATTCTGTTACTTTGGTATCTTGCATTGATTCATCTTCATAAGGTAATATTTGGATTGTTTGAGTAAATGGTTCTAGAAGTGGGTCAAATGTACCCAAGGTGAGTGGACCAGGACTCCACCTTCACAAGTAGTCTGTGTGATGTGGTAGTAACACATCTCTTTTTAATGCCCTACAGCATTTGGAAATGGAATCCTGAGCTCTGACTGGCTCAGTGGGAAAAGGAGGAGTCCCCTGCAAATGCTCTATGACATGGACCAGGTAGGTAAACAGTCTTACCAGTGATATTTCCTGCTATACTCTCCACCCTCAGTCTTCTAGCTATGGGAAAGCCTAATAGAGGCCTGCTAAAATGAAACTGGAATCTACCTCGGGGCATGGAGAGGTTTCTTGTGAAAAATGCAGGCTCTGTCCAAAAAGGACTATGTGCCTGGGTCAGTGGCAAGGAAAATCTTGAGGGCAGGTGAAGAGACTTAGAATTTCCACTCATTGATCTACCTATCCACCCAAATGACAATAATTTGAACAACACCCTGTGCCAGGCACTGTCCTAGGGGTTGTGGACATAAATGAGATTGTGCTTGCCTGCACCATTGTGATAAACAGTGTGTCCTCTGGACATACCAGGTATGGGTGTGTGGTTATACCCTGAAAGATCAATGCTAGCATGCCTATTTTCCAACCACTGGGTACCAGTGGACCAAGGTAGGCCTGGTACTTTATTTTAACTTAATGTAGGCCACTGCATAATCCTTAACTTCAGTGAATCACCTATACAGACTATATGATCTTTTCTTTCCCTCTTAAACTGAAACAGTAAGTGAAGAATCTATGTTTAATGGGTCCAAATCGATAAGTGCAGACTGAGCCACTTGTATTTCTTGCACCATTATATTACACACTTAATAGCCATTCCCACAGACAAACTCTCCTTGTCTCTGTTTGTACATATTATGAAAATTACATAGTTCTTCTTAAATGGAGCATATTTCTCCATGGGTGACAATTTGTACTTTATCTTTTGGGGTGGACTAGTGGCAAGAAACTGAACTGAAATTCCAAAGGCACGCAGTTCAAGGCCACCAGCTGCTCCTTGGGAGAATGATAGGTAATCTCCTCCTATGCAATTAACTACCTCTGAAAACCTGCCGGAGGGTCAGCTATGGGTCAGTTCTGACTAAGTGATGCACAACACACACACAACAATAGGTATAAAATTAAAAAAAAAGAAGTGGTGAGGAGTATCTTGGGAACATTAAAAAAATGTCATGTAAGGCATCTGCCTCAGGCAGTGCCCTAGGCTCTCTCATAGGGGAAATCTGAGACTCAGTAAGTACATCTGGGTTAAGCTCATCAGATGGGGGTTGTTGTTTTGCCACTGAGTCAGAACTGACCCTCCAGTGGGTTTTCAGAGGCAAATACTACATGGGAGGAGACTGTCATCCTTCTCCCTCAGAGCACCTGGTAGAGCCTTCGAGATTGCAGCATAACTTACCAGTAGACCCCCAGAGTTTTCTGAGATGAAAGGCTTCCCTGACCAGGAATAGAATCCAGGCCTCAGCGGTGAGAGTGCCAGTTTCCTGATTGTCAACCCATTCTATCCATCTGTCCTCATCTTATGTTTCAGGATCTCATTTCTTGTCACAATGTTGTTGTTGTTACATGCCCATGACTTGCCTGCAACCCACATCGACCCTATGAAGCCTGCCCTGTCCTGATCCAGACTTACTGACTCCAACACATCTACCCCCATTGCCCTAGTTACTGCATCAATCCATCTCATCTAGGGCCTTCCTCTCCTGCGCAGGTCCCTTTACCCTTCTAGCATGATATCCTTCTCCAAGAACCAGTCCCTTCTGACCACATCATTTTGGTTTTTTTAAGTATATGATGTATTCTGTTGTCTAAGAATGTTAAGAACTTTTGCATCTATGCTCATGAGGATATATATGTAACCTACAATGTCTTCTTTTGTGATGTTGTTGTTGTCATGTACCGTCAAGTCACCTGTGACTCACAGTGACCCAGTGAACAACAGCTCTGAAGCCTGCGTTACCCTAAGCCAGTCTCACTGACTCTAATACACCTACCTACTCCCATTGTCCTAGTTACTGTGTCAATCCATTGTCATCCAGGATCTTCTTCTTCCGAGCTGCAGGTCTGTTCAGATTTTCTACTTGCATCTTTGTTAGTGTAGACAGGCAGTGCTGTTTCTAGAAATTTGTCCATTTCCTCTTGATTTTCAAATTTTTTGGAGCCTAACTGTAAGAAACTGTGCTGCGATCCTGGTCACATGGTTCGAATCCACCAGCTGCTCCTTGGGAGAAGGAAGGGCAATCTCCTCTTGTGCAACTAACTTACTGCCTTTGAAAACCTACTGGAGGGTCAGCTATGAGTTCTGACTCAATGGCACAACAACAACAGTGGGTAAAGAGCTTCTGCCAATCCAAGGGCAGGCAGTTAGAATCCACCAACTGCTCCAAAGGAGAAAGATGGGCAGTCTCTTCCTGTATGATTTACAACGTTTGAAAAATTCACTGGAAGGTCAACTATGAATTGGTTTCAAATCAATACTGTTGTTGGTCTTGTTAGGTGCCACTGAGTCAACTACAGATAATAGCAACCCTATGGCCTCAAGATCTGTACCCTTCCCTGTCCTGTCATCATCTCTGATACACCAGAGCCCACTGCAACTGTCACTGTGACAATCCATCTGCTTGAAAGTCTTCCTCTCTTTTGCTGACCCTCCACCTTAAGACATAATTGTCTTTTTTCCAAGTACTGGCCTTAACTAACAGTATGCCCAAAGTATGAGAGATGAAGTTTCACTATGTTTGCCTCTAAGAAGCACCCTGGTTGCACTTTCTCCAAGATATATTTATTTGTTCTTTTGACAGTCCATGAGATATTCAATAATTCTTCTCAAACACTACAACTTGAAGGTATTCTTTTTTTTAATCTTCTTTATTCACTGTCCTACTTCAGAAACATAGCAAGTAATTGGGGGGGGGTAACCCCACAATAAAATACATGGGTTGGATCAGGTGAATCTTAGTCTTTAAACTGACATCATTACTCCTTAAACTTTGGAGAGGCCCTTGACAGCAGATTTTTCCCAATGCAATACATCTTTTGATTTCTTGACTGCTGGTATCAAGAATGTTGACTGTGGATCCATGAAAGATTAAATCACTGGCAATTTCAATCTTTTCTCGTATTATCATGGTGTTGCCTACTGGCACAGGGGTGAGGATTTTTTTCTTGATGTTGAGATGTAATCTATATCAAAAGTTGTGCTCTTTGATTTTCTGCAGCCTGTGTTTCCAGTCTTCACTTTCAGTGAGCAAAGCTGTGTAATCTGTGTAACACAGGTTGCTGATGGGTCTTCCACTGATCCTGATGTCACATTCTACATAAAGCCCAGTTTCTCGAATGATTTTCTCAGCATACAGGTAGAAAAGATTTGGGGAAAGGATATAGCTTTGACACATGCCTGTTAGTATTTTAAGCTATGCTATATTCCCTTCTCCAAGGACTGGTCTGTTCTCCTTGCAATATACTCTAAGTGTGTTCAGAAGAAGCTTCAGAATCCTTGCCTCCAAGGAGCATCCTGGTTTCACCCTCTCTAGGATGAACCTATTTGTTTTCCTAGAAGTCCGTGATATATTCAGTATTCTCCAGCAATTCAGCTCAAAGGTATCAATTCTCCTATCATCCCTAGTTACTGTCCAGTTTTCTGACACACAGCAAGTAATTATAAAGAGTATGGCCTGGGTCAGGTTCACCTTAGTCTCCAGACTGACATCGTTGCTCTTCGGCATTCTGGAGAGGTCCCTGACAGCAGACTTGCCCAATGCAATTCATCTTTTAATTTCCTGGCTGTTGGTACCAAGAGTGTTGATTGTGGAGTCAAGATGTTAACTACCTCAGTCTCTTCCCCATCTATCATGATGCTGCCAATCGGCCCAGTAGTAAGAAGTCCTTGGAAAGGGACCTCATGATGGATTGATTTAGTGACTGGGGTAATGGGGGTAGGTGTATCAGAGGCAAAAGTAAGGTTGGTACAGGAGAGAGCTGGGTTTAGGACTATTGTACATAACGTCGTTGCTATGAGTTGCGAGCGACTCGATGGCACCTAAGAACAACAATGTTCACTTCCGTTCACACAACACTTTCTTGACCTAAATATAGGTTTTGCATGAGTATATTAAGTGTTCTGGGATTCCCATTCTTCTCAATGTTAGCCATAATTTGTTGTGATCCACTAGTCAAATGCCTTTGCAAGGCAGTAAAAGACAAATAGGCATCCTTCTAGTATTCTCTGCTTTCAGCAATTATATTCTGGTGCCATACCTTGTTCTAAATCAGGCTTGAATTTCCGGCAGTTCTGTTTCAATGTACTGTTTAAAATAGCAATTTTAAATAATCTTCAGCAAGACTTCACTTGCATGTGATACTAACAAATTATTATTATTATTATTATTATTATTATTATTATTATTATGTGTATGTGTACCATCAAATCGGATCTGACTGGTACAGGAGGAGATTACCCCTCCTTCTCCAGCAGAGCATCTGGTGGATTTGCAAATTTCTTCACAATATTCTGTTATTATCCTTTTAATTTCAATTAGTTTTACTGTGATGCTACCTTTGTCATTTATTATTGTTATTTGCATCTTTTCTTGTGTTGTATTTGCTAATGGCTTATTGACTTTATGAATCCTTTCAATCAATCAACTTCTAATCGTGATGCTTCTTTGTATTGTTTTTGTTTCATCTCTAATCTTTATTATTTCCTTTCCTCTAGAGACTGTGGTAGCTCTGGTGGCCTAGTGGCAAGCAGCTGTACTGCCACTCCAAAGGCATGCAGTTTGAATCCACCAGCTGCTCTGTGGGAGAAAGATGGGCAGTCTCTTCCCATGTGATTTACTGCCTTTGGAAACCAACTGGAGGCTCGTTAAGGGCTAATTCCAACAATAACAAGAGATTGTAGGGTTTGTTTGCTGGTATTTTCTGTATGTTGGAGATGTTTAAGATTCTGACTTAGGTTCTTTTGCTTTCATTTTTTTTGGTTATTTTTATTTTTTATTTTAATAAACTGACCTCTGAGTATTGGGTTTTTTTTGTATCCCAAGATCAGTAATGTTGTATTATCATTCTCTTTTGTTGCAAGAAAATTTTAGGGGGTTATTGGTTGGATTCTGTTCCGTTTTTTATTTCTTCTATGACCAAGTACTGTTAAAGCAAGCTGGTAGTTT